TTCCTAGGAAATATAATTAAATCAATAAACTTCCTAAAAATCTTATGAAACATATATAATATCGAAGAAGACATTTTTGCCAAATGCGATTCACACAGGCAGCTGGAAGTCTTTCGAAAGCCGATGTGTTATCGTAGATGAGTTAATAGAAAAAGATTTTTATTATACGGCAGTGTCGCCCTTTGACTTCAGCAGTGTTTACATTGAATGAGTGGCTATTGAGTTCCATTGCTTCTTCATTCTGGTAGTGTTACTTTCTCCATGTTGGCCTAAATTAGACCCACCTGAATATAAAGTAAGAATATAGTGCATTCCGAGAGTGATTTATAAGTAGTCCATAACTATAACTAGTCTGGTTTTCACACCCGTGCGACATATTAAAAAGACTTTATTCGGTGAGGTCGCGTTTGCCACCACATGCTGTTTGCACTTTCATCCAAAGCTCCTAGTGCTTTTGGCATTTGTTTCAAGATGTGATCTTTGTGTAATTTGAATACATTTTCCTTCTGTCCAATGTCCTTATTTTCTCAACCTCTCATTTAAATGTGACTGTTTGTTTGTCATTATTTGATTATATTATTTAAAGATGTATCGCCACATGTTTTGAATTAAACGAATCCCGAGGTCTTTATTTGTATCCCAAGTAGAAAGGACGACTGTTTGTCGGCTTTCCTCATATGACACTGGACACTTTAAATATACCTAACTGCAAAATCCTTTATTTTGTTAAAGTTATTTTTTACTAGTTTGACAATCCTACTATTGAATTCTGACCTGCTGACGTGTCTAGTAGAACTCATAAGGGCAGATGACTAATCATATGTTTCTTAGTCGTGTGATAACCTCTTACTGGTTGAATAAGCCGCTTATTGATTGGCTTCTTTTGGAGTGTGCTTCAATTGAGCCAATGAAACAGTCGTCACCTGTGTAAGCATGACCACACTGGCACATTGCGTCACTTAGTGCACGTTCTGTTCATTCCACAATTGCCGAAAGACAGTCCTCGGCATTACATTCTGCTGTCAATGTAAAACGTTGCAGCAACCGTAAAAATAATGTTAACCTGGCGTAAAATAGGATCATTTAGTTCACTCACTGGTCACAACACCGTGGTTCCAGGCAAATTCGATCAAACCACTCCCCGCACACTGCCGCCACATCTTGCTGGTGCAGACCGCAAGTTGAGCACTCTTTGCTCTACCGCTCGGGTCACCGTTTACAGGCGTTGGAGCGCAGAGGCCTCCGCTGCCCGGCGGCCCCCACTTTTTGGGACAATCGTACCAGCTAGAACGCAGTCCCCATCACAATTTACAGACGTCTTCATTGTTAAATGGTAAACTCTGGTATATAGTTTAAAATACCGTTTAGTTTTTGTCAGTTTGTTTAAACACCTACACTTTTTTGCAAAATACCTTTAATGTCTGCCCAGCAAGCAATGTACTTACATTCCCGGCTTTTAACGCCAACCCTAGACTCATTAAAATTTTAGTAGGTCTACAGAACGAGACAGTTATCTTATTGATGGTAGCGACTTGCGACTGAAATCCTACTCTTTTTTATTGAAAACAATACTCCCTATTTTTACTGACGTTTCAACTTCTTAAGTACACTTAATTAATGCATGTGGCTGCTACATAGAAATTTGGCCTTAAGGTATTCACAATGGACTAGTTATCCCCATGTAATACACCTGTTTTCCTTTCTAAAAATGTTAAAATACGCCTTTTCTATAATTCTCATGTGAGTTCATAGATTAATGAAAGGACTATTTCTCAAAGCAGTTTGCGTTGGCTGACTGTCTGAAAGGGAAGATAGCCACTTTTAATAAGGAGTTACTACAAAAAACGGTTTTTAAATTCATTTGTCTTTCCGAAATGCAGGGGACATACCTGCTTTTCATGACAATGATGGAATTGGGGAATTTCTATGGGTTTAAGAGAAATAAATTGGGAATGGTCATCCTACCTTCCCACTTTTCCGCCGTTAGCAACTGCCAGATTATTAATTATTCACCAATAGGTGACCTCTCATGTAAGCTCTAGGTTGAGACTTCAGGGCAAAACGGGCTCGCTTC